TGGATATCAATAGCACTCTTCATTACACCTAAATTGCTGGCTGACATCTGAAATACCAAACGACTAGATAGTCGTGTACTTTCATTTAAACTCATGGTCAATGGTTTTCCGTTAGAAGGGGAACATTTTGTCATACTTTCACAGGGCTCAGTGTTTTTTTCTTGGAGAGGTCTGAATGTCTTCTGATTCAAATTTCTAGCATTCATCTGAATGTTATGCTTAGGTCTTCTTTTTACAGCTCAATCTGTTTGTTATTCTGGATCACACGAGTTTTAAGTGAAGACAATTTAGATTCTGCAACAACATGCTGTTTTCTTTTTAGGTTGCCAGGTTCTAAGATATTTTTGTTTACCTGTAATGACCAGTTTTTGGAAACTGGTATGACTTTAGGGGCAGTATTATTTTGAGAGCTAAAGGCTGTGTCCTGAACTTGAGTGTTTCTTCTGCTGGGCCTGGTGCTCCCAGAGCTACTGGTGGTGCCCTGTCAGACCCGAGTTTCCTTCTGCTCTGAATGGACCGGGGGTGGAGCTGCAGAGCTGAGAACACACGGGGCTTTGGGCAGCTCCACCTTGTGGCTCATGGCTACTGAACACAGTGTGAGAGGTTGAGTCAGGGTGGGTCTTGTGGAAGGGGCCTTAATCAGAGAGGACCTGAACATTTGTTTAATGGTCAGATTGGGTGGCTTGACTTTGTTTGCCTGCATGTGAGGCTTAATTAGGTCCTGTGTATAGTAGCATGGTTTAGTTGTCATCTTTATGGGAAATCCACATATGTGGGGCAGCTTAGATTTTAAATCTGAAGGAAAACTTTTCAACGCATCTTCCAAGTCTACCCTTGGGAAGAACTGTATGGGCTGACTGCTGATGCAGCTGGAGAGGGTATGTGAAGATCCTTCCTTCTAGCATTTTGATGTAGATGCTGCAGTATGTTTTAATATTTCCATCATCTTCTGGAAGTTTAAAGCCATACAGGTCATCCCAGTGTGTCTGGAAATCTTCATACAAGTGAAAAGGACAGTCAGGGGGTATGATGTGAAGAATACTTATTATTTGCCCCATTTTCATACTTGGCAAAACATAGCACCAGCTGCTTAGAATCGAATGTCCCACAGTATGGGAGAATATATTCATAAATGACAGATCCAATAAAGCTTGACATCCAAAATATATAAAGAGCTCACGCACCTCAACAAACAAAAAGCAAATAATCCAATTAAAAAATGGTCAGAGGAGCTGAACAGACAGTTCTCCAAAGAAGAAATTCAGATGGCCAATAGACACATAAAAGATGCTCCACATCGCTAGTTATCAGAGAAATGCAAATTAAAACCACAATGAGATATCACCTCACACCAGTAAGGATGGCTACCATCCAAAAGACAAACAACAACAACAGTTGGCAAGGTTGTGGAGAAAGGGGAACCCTCCTACACTGCTGGTGGGAATGTAAATTAGTTCAACCATTGTGGAAAGCAGTATGGAGGTTCCTCAAAATGCTCAAAATAGACTTACCATTTGACCCAGGAATTCCACTTCTAGGAATTTACCCTAAGAATGCAGCACTCCAGTTTGAAAAAGACAGATGCACCCCTATGTTTATTGCTGCACTATTTAGAATAGCCAAGAAATGGAAGCAACCTCAGTGTCCATTAGTAGATGAATGGATAAAGAAGATGTGGTACATATACACAATGGAATATTATTCAGCCATAAGAAGAAAAGAAATCCTACAATTTGCAACAATATGGATGGAGCTAGAGGGTATTATGCTCAGTGAAATAAGCCAAGCGGAGAAAGACAAATACCAAATGATTTCACTCATCTGTGGAGTATAAGAACAAAGGAAAAACTGAAGTAAGAAAACAGCAGCAGAATCACAGAACCCAAGAAGGGACTAACAGTTGTTACCAAAGGGAAAGAGACTGGGGAGAATGGGAGGGTAAGGAGGGATAAGGGCGGGGAAGAGGAAAGGGGGTATTATGATTAGCATGTGTAATGTGGGGTGTGGGGAAAAGGGGAGGGCTGTGCAACACAGAGAAGACAAGTAGTGATTCTACAACATCTTACTATGCTGATGGACAGTGACTGTAATGGGGTTTGTGGGGGGGGACTGGGGGTATGGGAGAGCCTAGTGAACATAATGTTCTTCATGTAATTGTAGAATTAATGATAACAAAAGAAAAAAAAAAGGCATGCTCCAAGTGGGCAGTCAGGAAGGCCCCAGGAATATTCTGGGTACCTGCTGTAACTGGCCAAGATTGGGATTAAAAGTTAGTTACAAAGAATATATAAAATGGAAATCAACATATAGACAGTTAATAACCTTAACAATCCATTATATGCAGTCCTGGGCACACTATAGGTGGTTTACAGTAGTTTTGAATAAATATGTATAACCTCCCCCCCCCCCAAAAAAAAATCGAATGTCCCTTAATGACAGCATCCTGGGTAGTATCAAAATGCTAAACTCTGAGAAATATCAAATTCTGTTAGCTCAGGTGGTGGCAATCTGACTGTGTAAGCTTCTATGCTTAAACAAACTTGAGTTTCTGTTACATTGATGTTTAATACAACAGCACTTTGCTTTCCCATCTGAGAAAGAAACTCTCTTCCTTTCACTAAGACATGGCCAGTTTTATTCTAGGCTGGAGCAAGTCTAGCTGTGAGTGAATACGAAAGGCAGTTTTGAAGAATTACAGGAATTACTCTTTGTGGAGCCTCCCCCTAGCTCCATATTTTTCAATATAGGAATTAAGTTTTCCAGCTGTATAAAATGGTATTGCCATCATTACCCAAATTTCTCAATATTCCTGGTACAGGTGATGCAAGAATAACTTGGTGCAAATACAGCAGTTGTCTACACATCTTCATTTGTGTACTCCTAATCTCAGTATCTGCCATCCCATTACTCAATATTATCCTGACAGCACAGAGTTTGTGTAAATCTGGAATTGTGATGAAGAACAGTGACTGCTGCCTAGAATCATTCATACTTTCCTAACGACTGAATATCTCAGCAATTAGGCCTTCTAACTCATTTTCCCTTTAAATATCTTTCAGCAGAGTCAGGAACAGATTCCCATGAGCCCTTCTCCACTTCTTTTGTAAATTTGGTGATAGACCCAATTTTGAGGATGTCCATATTCCCAAGCTTCTGACTTGGGTGACTTGATAACACTAGCAGCTGTATTTCTTAAAACTGTCTGGAACCCTGACTGGTACATCACTGCGATTCTGGTGGGTGAGTTCCTGTGGACCCTCGCCCACCTCCATGCTCCCCATGCCCCCTGCCAGGCTCCACACCCCCCATGGCCAATGCCCCACCCAGGTCCATGCCCCATGTGCCTCGTGCCCCCCGGCAGGCTCCACACCCCCCATGGCTGATGCCCCACCCAGGTCCATGCCCCATGCCCCATGTGCCTCATGCCCCACGCCAGGCTCCACGCTCCCCCCCCAATGCCCCAAGCCCCCTGCCCATTTCAGCTTATTTAATATTTAGAATATTAACAATTTTATTGATAGCTTGATGGTTTAAAAAAAGGCTAAATTGTTTTGATTTATATGTTTTTAGTGGTAAAGTTGAACTTTTTTCATAAGCTTATTAGTCATTTGGATTTCCTCTTTTTTAAAATTTCTACTTGTATCTTTGTTTTTTTTCCCCCTGAGGGTCTTCCCATTTTCCTTTTGATTAAGGTTTTTATATGTGAAGGAAGTCAGCTAGTTGCTTTATTTGTTGAAAATATTTTACCTAGTTATCTGTTGATTTTGTTCTAAGTCTTCTGATGTAAAGAAATTATAATCTTTTAATCTTTATAATATAGTTAACTTTTTCAATTTAAAATAAAACCTTAAATCATGAATTTTTTACTGTATTTGGAATTCTCTTTGTTACATGGTGTGTCTTATTATAGTTATTATTATTATTGCTCTTGTTTTTACAAGTAGTTTTATTATTTTATTAGTTTTACTTTAATAATTTTTTACAAACAGTTCACTTCAGTACCATTTAAAAATAATCCATCATTTTTCTTTCTGATTTTTGATGCAACTTCTATTATTCTATTGCATTTATACATTTAAGGGGCTCTGAATCTCCATTTCCTATTTTGTTTGATCAGTCTATTTTTTTCCTCCCAGGTTCCATTTAATTGAACTGAACTATTATAGTATATTGTTATCTGTACACCTGTGCTCAGAGGTGAGGTAGACCTTGATTAGTAAGTGGGCAAAGCTGGAATTCTCTCTGTATTTTGAGGAAACTGTTTAAGCTTTCTAAGCCTCAATTTTTTTCTTGTCTGCAAAAGGGGATAATAAAAACAGCCACTCTAAGAGGATGTTTTTAGGATTAAAGAAATGATTATTGAGTGAACAGTATCCTGGCACATTGAATAAGTACTCAATGAATTTTAACTGTTAAGACAATGATAATTTTGTGCTGCTAATAATATCTGGTTTCACTCTCTTTCAAAATTTTAGTTCTTACATATTTAGTTTCTGAATTAACTTCAGATGACTTTTTTTTTAACCATTCTTTCAAAAACCACTCCAGTAGGATTACAGAAAATCTATAAGCTAATTTGGGTGAAAACTGACAATACTCAATGTCCCCAACCAGAAACTTGGTATTTCTCTCCATGTATTTAAGTTTTCCTTTTGTTTGTATAAGATTTACTAATGTTTTCTTCAAAAACATCTTGTATGTATTTTTGGGAAAGCCACTTTTAGGCATTTTGTTTGTTTCTAGGCATTCATGTTAACATGAATGAAATGTTTTGTGTAATTTTTTTAATCAGTTTTTACTGGTAGTTATGTATTTTAGTGTCAGTTGCTCTGTTTCATTATATGTACAAATTGTAAAGCATTTGAAACTTTTGGTTCTTTCTATTTCTTTGCTTATGTATTATCTCCTTTTTTTTTCTTTCTTTCTGAAGGTTATAATTGCCATCGCACTTTCACTGAAACGTTCTATGGTTTCTCTTTTCCTTACCTTTTGTCACTTAGGTAAAAACAGATGACATAGCAAGAATTTACCAGCCTAAGCGTTATGCTTTGTCACCCAAGACAACTATTACATTGGCACATCTACTTGCTGCTCGTGAAGATCTGTCCAAGATCATTAGGACAAGTAGTGGCTCCAGCCGAGAGAAGACAGTGTGTGCCATTAATAAGGTTGGTTTTCCTTTGAGTAGAGTGGATGGTGAATTTATAATATCCACATTTGATATTTTTACAGATTTCAATTCATTTTTCTTCTATGTCTTGGTGAATTCCTAAGAAAGAGAGTGGTCCTGATGCTCAGTTCATCTGGGCTTAGTTATGTTTTGCATGCACGTTTGAATTTCTGTATTCATAAATGAAACCAGAGTTTTATCTAAATTAAAGAAATTAAGAATTGTTTTTAGTCAATAGCTTTAGCAAGAATTACTTGCCTTCTCTCCAAAAATGTTATCATTTTTGTCCGTAAAAATGTGTAGGAATTGTTTCAGGTGCTGACAGATTCCTTATACCCTTTGTGTAAAGGTGGAGTGTGTGTTTGGGAGTCATGCAAATCCGGGCTCACATTCTGGCTTCATCACTTGGAGGAATTGCCTTGGGCAGGTTAACCGAATCTCTTGGAGGTTCTGTTTCCTGATTCCGAGTGTGGATCCACCTCTCTAACACTGGTCTTACATAGGCTCCAAGAGGGAATTTTTCACTTTAGAACAGAAACAGCAACGGTAAACTAGTTTGGAGTGCTTATCAGCTCAGCCGGCGTGTAACATCCATTCATTAGAGAGCTGGCGGCAGACATTATTTCAAAAGAGCCAAAAATCACAAGTAAGGGATTTGGGTAATTTAAAAATACCATTACTCACTCAGTGCAGTGAGAAAGGTATCCTTGATATAGAATATTTGGCCATAGGGATGGTTGTTAATAAAGTCAATTTGCTTATTATTACTAAGTTAGGCATCAGTGTTTGTGCCTCCTGCTTACATTTTTGATCAACCTCCTCTGTATTCTGTAAGTGTTCTATCTTTAAATATATTGCTTAGTATTTTGCATCAGGTTATAATCTAGTCTTGACAGATCAAGAGTTCTACTTCTTTAACAGACATTTCCCAGCTCTTTTCTGAGTTTGTAATTTATAGTCTTAAGTATTTAAGGGCAATCTGTGATCAGTTCTCAGAGCAGCATCCCCAGATACCCACCAATATAGCCTGTTTGGTGGGAAGACCAGTGAGAATAACAGAAAAGAAGAGCCATTTTTTGGATTTGCTAATTAGGACATTATTCTGATTTTAAGAGAATGTTTGCATACTTTGAACATTGCCCCACAGTGAGGATATTGTACTTTTTGTCTTTCATTTATGACATAAATTACTAAAACAGGGTTCTGAATAGAGAATCAGGGGAAGTTGAACCCAACTGATTCATAGTTCATTTTGGTTGAGGCAGATACTGTTTTACCTTCTTTCCTGAAAGAGATTAGCAGGAAGTTGTTGGCTGCCTCTTGGAAATGTTAGGTGGGGGATACCCTGCTCACCACTGTCCATATTTCCCTGTTCATAGGCATGTAAAATAGCACCTTTCTACAGATAGTTGGGCACTTAAACCAAACTTTTCTCTGGTTTATCCTTCAAAGTATTGTAAAGCATGGTTAAGGAGGTTTGTCAAGTCTATTTTCTAACAATGTGCTAACTAGTATCATTGAAAGTTAGCTTAAGGTTCTCCTAAGAAAGGAATATTTCATTGAGAGCTCTTGATTCTCTCTGCAATGATATCTTGGATTATAGTCATACTCATCTCTGACCTCATTACATCCACATGCCATCATATACAATTCATGCTTTATTGAAATAAAATGTGCTTAGAAATACAATTCTTTCACTGGGTAATTCATTACCAAATCAATGGCAATGGAAAGTCCAGAGTTGTATAAATGGATATTAATTAGCAGAGGATATTTAGTTTATATATATATGTAAAATATTACACTAAAAAATTAGTGTGCATACTACAGTTATAGAATTTATTAATGAATTTAAAGAAGAGAAAGTAAACAAACCCGTAAGTTTCAGAAATATTTCCCTGGATTGTTTAAGAATAGTACCACATTGTGAGGAATTTGTTATACTTCACATTTATAATTTCAATATTAATTCATACTGCCATGTTGATACTTTCACGTCCTTAAGTATTTGGCTTCTGTTTCTTTATTGGAACAATAACTTCAATATCACCTGATTCCTTTATGTAAATTATAACTTTTAAAATACTAGAAACTGAAAGAAAATGTTTCTTCACACAGGTGCTGATGGGAAGGGTGCCTGACAGGGGAGGACGGCCGAATGAAATTGAACCACCACCCCCTGAAATGCCCCCTTGGCAAAAGAGACAAGAAGGCGGTGGAAGGGGTGGTTGGGGAGGTGGAGGCGGAGGTGGTGGTAGAGGAGGTGGTGGAGGTGGAAGAGGTGGCTGGGGGGGTGGAGGTGGTTGGGGAGGTGGTGGTGGGGGAGGAGGAGGAGGATGGGGAGCAAGTGGGGGTGGTAGAGGAGGTTTCTCAGGTAGGGGAGAATACGGTGGGAGAGGGGGCCATGGGGGAAGAGGAGGCTATGGGGGTAGAGGTTATGGAGATCCATATGGAGGAGGTGGTGGTGGATATAGAAGATATTAACTAACAAAATTAGATCTCAGTACTTCTTGATAGATACATTAGGCGTAACATTCTAAATAACATACTTGAATGGCATCTTTGAAGTAAACACCGTGTTAGAGTCTCAGATATCATTCTTGAATCGGGTTAATATGTAAGAGCATTGTTTTTATACTACCATTGGATCTCTTAAATCAAGTGGTGATTTTTCCATATTCTGTGTACGCTTGAACATGTCTTTTTAAGAAACAAAAAAATGAGCAAAAATTATTTTTAAAAATGTAAATATTTATTACCATCAAACTTGGAAAGTATTTTATGTCACAATTGAATTTAGATTGTTACCTGTATTTTATTCAGCTTTGAGACACATAAATTGCTCCACACGTAATAGAAAGGAATATAGACTGTTGCCTCATCTGTATTCCTGTTTTGTGTTTGTTAATTCAACTTTACAAAATAGGGAAAGTTGTGCTCAATAGTTACTTGTCATGACTTGTTTTTTTTGTAACAGAGGCGTTCTCTGGCCAAGTTTCCACTAAAGTTCTATTAATTGAAGCCCAAGACTACTTTTTGTTACATATATTTTATTTTCCAACTGGATTTGAAATATGTGATTTTATTTGAGAAAACAAACTTAAAGGTTAAGGTCAGAATTACTCTAAAGGGGCAAAGATGTATACTAATTTTGCCTGTTGTGAAAAATATTCCTATAAACTGGTTTCTTTGTCATTTGTGCTGTCACCTTAGGTATCTGAATATTAATAGGCAGGTTGGGCTGTGTCATGTAGGTTAGGGCCGCAATTTCCAGTTTCAGTAGGTCAGAAGTAGGGCCAAGGCGTGTAGTTCCAACTCACAGCTTGACCCGAGAAACACAGGGGTAGGGAATAGTTGCCTGTGGTCTGGGGGCTGTAGCAGTCACCAGCTTGGGGGTCAGGAGCTGTGAATTAGAATTATGGCAGTAGCCCAGGGGTGTTGTGGGCTCAAATGACCATAGCTCTCAAGGATTGACTTGTCTCTCATTTGTCAAATGATGAATATGACACTTGTACCTTTCTCAGGTTGTTTCAGAAAGACCTAAGTACCAGTTCAATTCACTGAGAATTTATAGAGGGCCTATTGTGAATGGTTTAATTGGTGGGCCAATTTAATTTTTCTGTTAGTGTAGAGAGAAAAAGTCCGCACAAAATTTTCCATTCCCACTTTAAAAATCTGTATCCTAACATCAGCTCCTGATCAATACCTGTACATAACAACTTCTGTGATCTGCCCGACTCAACAGATAGAAAACTGAGTACTAGTGGGCAAATAGTATTTGATATTTGGCAGTTTTAGTGTCATTTTGTTTTGTTTTACAGTCAACTGTGTGGTGAAATCTAATATTAAAACTTTAAAAGTAAATACTGTGTTTTCTATAGTCTTGGCCACATATTTTTCAAGGTAACCCTTCAAATAAATTTGTTTAGGATAGGAAAATGAATTTTTTCAGTCATTTGTAAACTTAGGTTTATTTTTAATGTGTTTACATTTAATGAAGAGACTTAATTTTACGTGATAATTGAAGAAAAAGGCTTTCCATAATTAAAACATTTTTTCAGTAGCTATGAACTCTGAAAAAAATTAATTTTTGAAAAGACAAGCAAAGACCACTGGAAAAAAATATTTCAAGAGAGTTACTGGTTAAAATAGAAAATGTTAATCTAAAACCCTTACATTTCTGCTTCATTTCTTTTCAGGAGCTTTTAATCTGATACAGAAGGGGTTTATAACTACTTTGAATTTCTTTTGTCACTAATGGTTTATGTCAGATAATGACAGGAACATTAGTTTATCAGTTTCTGTAAGATTTCTTTGTACGTTCATAGGAGTGCTGTTGGATTGTCCACTGTACTCACTGTCAGTCTTACCCAAGTTTAGCACACTTCTGGAATCACTCATGCTGGAGCTGGAACCACTACTGTTTACACATTTCCATAAGCTTAGATGAAAAACTGAGTGGTCTAGACTCTAATATCTTATTCTTTCCTTTAAGGCAGGATTTTCATGATTCTCTTCATAAAAATTTCTTTTGTAGTTGAGTATGCTGAGCAATATTTAGAATAGCAGCAAGGCAGTTTGGGGCTTCAATATGAAAGGCCACAATGTGAAAATGTTTTATAAATTGAGTCCAATACAGATGTAGAATGTGTTGAATGGCATTTCACTGCTTCCTAAAATCTAACACATTTTTATGTGCCTTGTCTTCATTCTTTTTTGTCTGTTTGTCAAATTTTATTTTTTTCTGTTGTCTCATTTTTCTTCCCTTTTTTCTTCTCCCTGCCTTGGTCTAGCCTGTGGTAGCTAATAACACATATAGACATGAATTTACTGGGACTTACTGGGTTATAGAAGTAATTGACCTCTTATCTGGACCATAGAAAGAATACATGTCCCATCCATACATAATCACCACACTGTTACATCTAAGCTCTCAGCAAATGAAGGGATCAGGTGTTTTCTTTCAACTTACTCCCTTGTTTTCTGAAGATCAGGGAAACCTTGCCTTATTAAACAGAAAAAAAATGTGTGTGTGTGTGTGTGTGTTATGAGTCTCTTCAGTTTTGTTTGTTCATTTGTTTTTTTTAGATTCCACATATAAGCAAAATCAAACGGTATTATTTGTCCTTCTCTGTTGTTAGACTTATTTCACTTAGCATAATACCCTCTAGGTGCATGTTGTCACAAATGGCAGGATTTCATTCTTTTTTATGGCTGAGTAACATTCCATTGCATATATGTACCACATATTTATCAACATTCACCTACCAATGGACATTTAGGTTGTTTCCATATATTGGCTATTGTAAATAATGCTGCAGTGAACATAGGTGTGCATATATCTTTTCAGATTAGTGATTTTGTTTTCTTTGGGTAAGTTCCCATAAGTGGAATTACTGGGTTGTATGGTATTTCTATTTTTAGTTTTTTGAGAAACCTCTATATTGCTTTCCAGCAGCAACACATGAGGGTTCGCTTTTATCCACATCTTTGCCAACACTTACTATTTCTTGTCTTACTGATATTAGCTATTCTGATTTGTGTGAGGTGGTATTTCATTACAGTTTTGATTAGGATTTCCCTGATGATTAGTAATGTTGAGCATCTTTTTGTGTATCTGTTGACCATCTGTTTGTTGTCTTTGGAAAAGTGTCTATTCAGGTCCATTTTTTAATCAGTTTTTTGAGTTCTTTATATATTTTGGATATTAGTCCTTTTTCAGATACATGATTTACAAAACTTTTCTATACAGTAGGTAGCCTTTTTGTTTTGTTGAAAAAACATTTTAAACCGAAAATATTTCATTACTTGTGTTTGTGTCAAAAGAAGGAATGAGAACCCAACAAAGGTTTGTGAATGTTCTGAGCAATGATACTATCTATACCTTGTAAGGAGCACAGGGTAGAGATTTTTGTGAAGAGAATTGGGGATGGAGGAGGGGAGGCAGTTAATCTCAACTCTCCTTCAGGGTCAGGTGGTCAGTGTGATTTCATTATTTTGTATGAAGTATTATGAATTGCCCAAATGATAAATAATATACTCACATCCAAATGTACCAAAATGTATTCTGCGGTGGAATTTGAATGATTTGAACCCGCCTCCCCACATTGGTCTTTTTAAATAAAAGTTGACTGGGGATTAAAGGAAAATCTTGCCTATCTTTAATCACTAAATAATCATGAGCACAAATTGCTCTAGGTAGTCTGTGTACCAGAATGAACAATCCTCTACCAGTTTCACCCACAAGCTTCAACGTTTTTCTTCTTGCTAGTTTTCTTAGTCCTGTAGAACTGACAAAAGTCACAGAAATGGCAAGCAGATTTGTCTCATTCCATGCTAAGTAGTTGTATACTTAACATTTGGGGGTCCCTGTAAATCATTAAGCAGGCTAACATGGGAAAAAGTCGAATGTTTCTGTACTGTTACTTTGTGTTATAAAAAGATGTAGAAAAACTTAATACTGAATAATTAGCTCCTTTGCTTTTCCTTCAAGGAAAATTCAGTTTGGTTAATAGACTAGGGGAGTGATCTCAGCTGTGGATTAGAGTAAAAATTCAGGTGAAGTTTCTACGTATTTATGAACTAGAAGAAACACAAGATGCCTGTGTTGAAGGGATCCTATTATCTTTTATCATATAAATATTACACAAAGAAAACTTACATTAGGTATCAAAAAAAACTTTACAATCTGTACATTTTTTTTCCCTTGCAGTTCTTTTACATTATACATCTTTAAACAAAAAATTCACAAATGGCCAGTAAAAAGGCAATTGCCAAATAAAATGATTAGTGACATTGCTGTTAACAAAACAAGATTTGTCCTGGCAGATAAATATTGCTCAAACTTATTTCAAATATTCAGTAAGACACAAAAACTTGTATCCTAGCCTTAACCAGAAATCTGTTCCAGATTATTTTTGTAGATTCCACTAATCCCAGGTAGCACAGTGCAAATAATATTAATTTACCCACTATAATACTTTGGCCCTTACTGGACTGTAAAAATCAGTGATGAAACTACTGCTTACTATCCAGTTCAGTAATAAATTCTGGAATGCTTAAGACCCTCTAGCTATGTTAATTTGACTAATTAAGGAGGCTGACTTTTGAATTCTCAGATTACATATTGTTTACACAGAAACTAACCTGGGGTCTGTATTTTGGATGGAGGGTAAGAATGAAGAAATTTATTACATGTCCATGTTTAAAGAAATTGAGCTGTACTATCTTTGGTCTATATCAGAGGAAATAATAGTGAAGAAAATGAATTCTAAAGATCATAAATTCATGTTTGTTGCATATAAGGTAAGTAGCAAAGTGCATCTGTAAATTTATATACCAGGTGGTGGATCCAAGCAGTTCTATTGTGGGGATTTCTGAGTTTGGATGAGGAGAGGGTAAATTTTTGTGTAAAATAATTCTTTAAAACATGGACCTAAAGTCACTAAAGATGAGTACAGAAGGTATGCAAATAGGAACTGGTCTTTCATCAAAGAAACCTTTAAATGTCTGAGCCCTCCAAGGAAGCCATACTGGATATACTTTGTGTTCTGATGAAGACTTAGTGTCACTGACCTTAGGTTTAGAATTTTTAATTGCTGAGATTATATTCTTGGCAGTTTGCCAACTTGTGTATGAATTTCAAGTCAGGTTAGTACCTGCCTTCCAAGAATGGAAGGTAAATTGTCCCCATTTTCAGAATGAAAATGATCATATGAATTTTTTAGGGAAATATATTATCTGATGGAGTTTATGAACCATTGCCCAGACAACAAAATAAGCTCATTTGTCATTAACCATCATCAATAGAAAATGCACAGGACTCTTAACTTACGATTTTGCCAAACAATGCAATTTATATTGTGAGCAATTTCTTCACCTTGCAACAAACTGAACTTTGTGAATTTGTGTAAATGACTAAAAATTGTTTAATTCACTTGCACATTTTATGAAGGAGGAAACAAAATTGCAAGCCATCTGCATGCCTGATAGTGTATATACATGCTATATACATATATACATGTCAGCTATTACTGAAAGCTTCTGATCCAATTAGCTTATTTCTAAATAGTATTAATAGTGAAGACAGTATAAGCACAAATTTAGTTCTAAAACAGTTACTTCAAAAAAAAAGATGGCCCATGAAAGAATTAAACACTGTTTTAAAAAAGGCCATAAATTCCTAATTCCACTGTAGATTATATGAGGACAAACAGCATGTTTGCACTTTTTTTTTAGCTAACTAGTCAGTCATCTTTGAGATGGTATTAGCCATGTTTCCAAGTATGTAATTTGGCTACTTATTAAGACTGTGAGACTAAGGCTGTGAGATGACCTGCAATGGGATTATGTCCTGTTCTGTAATAGATCCTCCCAAATTTGTGGCTACATCTCTAGTTTACTCTTCACGTATGGATCAGCGTAGTGAGGAAGGAAGGGGCAAAGGCTAACTGAGTAGATCTGAGGTAGTGAGTTGGGAGCCAGATTCGTGAAGAATGCTGGAATATAGAGGAAGTGAATCTATGTGAGTATTTTTCCATTATAAGCAAGCTTTGGATGGAACATAGTAAATTCCTCAGTTCACAGAAAACCCAGGGAAGGAAGCAAATTCATTTTTCAGAGATTTTTAGTTCTAAGGAAGAAGCTGCCAGGCAGGCCACACAGGAGAAGCTACCTTGTCAGAAAACTATAGTTATATTTTTATCATGTTTTTAGTATTAGTCCCAGGGGGGATGAAAGTCTATAGTATGAATGGCAAAAATTTTGTGTTCTTCAGTTTTCCCTTTTGATTCAACTGACTGGAAGAGAAGACAACACTGCGTATTAGGAATCTTTTAGGTAAAAATGAATTTCTTGCCTTTCTCTTTTAAAGTGCTCTTCTTAAAGCCTGTCTGTCTAAAGTTTCCTGGGATTTTTTTGTGTTAATTGGTTTAGAAAATGAGATCTCTGATATATTGATCTACACATTGTTCTTGAGTTTCTGGGTTAAGAACAGTCACCCTGTTCCATATGAGCTAAGACATGATTGCTTGCAAGATGGAGAGTTTCTATTTTCTTCTGTGCATATTTCAGTTGAATCTTCAGTGCCTCATTATCTGCTTTCAAGGTATTTACTTCCTATGGGAAAGGAGAATGACATATGTTAATAGAGCAGCAATGAATAGCAAATCAAGTTACATCAGGAGTACCACGCTTGATTGGCACCTCCTTTTTACTGTGGCTGAGAATTAAAAACTATTTTCAAGACAGTTATTTTACCCTGAATAGAAAGTATCGTGAGCATGTGCAAACAGCAGTTGCTTTTTGTTATATCAAATATGCGAGAGGCTAGCAGGCAGAATAAATCATTCCAGGTAACAGGTGGATAATGACAAAATCTTTGGATGTTGTGTAGTTGGAGACCTAAACTAAGAGTCTCTGGACAGGTCTGAAGTATGCAGTCAGTGACTCAGAATACTGGAATATGAGATATTGTACAGTTCATTCTGAGTTTTTTTCTCCCCAAATCATTGAAAATGAATAGACTCTTTTAATAAAGGTAAGAATTTATCTTACCTCCTCAACTGGGATTTAGTTAGCCTCTGCAGTAGTTGATTTACAGTCTCCCCTCCCTTCCCCTTCCTCTCTCTTCTCTTCCTTCATAAATTTAAGGTATACAGCTTGTTCATTTGATAGTTTTATACTGTAATATGATTGCCATTGTAGTGATAATTAGCATCTCTACCATGCTACAGAATTGTCCTTCTTTTTTAGTAGTTGGAGTAATTAAGTTCCAGTTTCTCAGCAAGTTTGATGATTATAATACAATATTGTCTATATTCACTCTACTGTGCATTATATATCTAGGGCTTATATTTGCCACTTGTAAGTTTGTACCCTTAAACATCTGTCCTGTACCTCCACTCCCACCCCCTTGTAACCATCATTCTATTCCCTATTTTTAGAAGTTTGGCTTTTTCATATTCCACATTGTGATCTCATACAGTACTCATCTTTCTTTATCTTACCTCCCCTTTAGCATACTGTGCTCAGAGTCCATCCATGTTGTTGCAAATAGCAGAATGTCCTTTCTCATGGCTGAATCCCATTGTATATCTGTATCACATTTTCTTTATTCATCATCTGACTTGTTTCCAGATCTTAGCTATTACAATACTGCAGTGAACATGGGGGTGTATATATCTTTTCAAGTTATTATTTTCATTTTCTTCAGCTAAATGGCCACAAGTGGAATTGCTGTGTTACATGGTAGTTTTTAGGATTTGAGGAACCTCCATTTTGTCTTCCACAGTGGCTGCACCAATTTACATTCCCATCAACAGTGCACAAGGGTTTCCTTTTCTCCGCGTCCTTGGCCAGCATGTTATCTCTTGTTTTCTTGCTAGTTATCATCCTGACAAGAGTGAACTGGTATTTCATTGTGGTTTTGATCTGCTTTCCCTGATGATTAATGATGTTGAGCACCTTTCATGTACCTATTGGCTATTTGTATGTTTTCTTTGGAAAAATGTCTCTTCGGTTCTCAATTTTAATCAGATTTTTTGTTTTTTTGTTTTTGATACTGAGTGGTAGGGGTTCTTTGTATTTTTTGGATATTAACCCTTATCTGGTCTGCAAAAGTTTTCTCCCATTCTGTATGTTGCCTTTTCATTTTGTTAATTGTTGTTGTTCTTTTTTTCTTTTTGCAGTGTAAAAAGCTTTTGAGTTTGATGTAGTAGTCCCATTTGCTGATTTTTGCTTTTGGGGCTTTATTTTTGGTGTCATATTCAAAAAAATTATTGCTAAGACCAATGCTGAGGAGCTTCTTCCCTATGTTTTCTTTTAGGAATTTATAATATCAAATCTTATGTTTATATCTGATCCCTTTTGAGTTCATTTTTGTGATTGATGTAAGATAGTTGTCCAATTTCATTGCTATGTATGTGTGTGTCCAGTTTTCCCTATACCATTTGTTGAAGAGACTACCCTTTCCCTACTGGGTGCTTCTGGCTCCCTTGTTGAGTATGAGCTGACCATAACAGCAAGAGTTTAATGCTGGGCTCTCTTCCCTGTTCCTTTGGTCTGTATGTCTATTTTTTTGCCCGTACTGTCTTTATTATTGTAGCTTCATAGTCCAGTTTGAAATCAGGAAGTGTGATACCTCCAGCCTTGTTGTTTTGTGGTTCCATACAAATTTCAGGATTGTTTTTCTGTTTCTGTGAGGAACACAATTGTTATTTTGTTGGGATTGCATTGAATCTATAGATGAATTTGGATAGTAACTATTTTAACAGTATTTATTCTTCCAATCCATGAAAACTAGATGTCTTTCCATCTGTGTTCTTCAGTTTCAGCAGTCTTGTTTGCTTTGTACAGATCTTTTTCAGTTCCTTGGTTAAACTTATTCCTAAGTATTTATTATTTTTGCTGCTTTTGTGAATGGGATAGTTTTTTCAGACATTTCATTCTTAGTGGATAGAAATGCAACTGACTTAAGTTGATGTACATTCCTGCAGCTTTACCGAAATCATTATTTCAAAGTTACTTGGTTGAGTTCTTGGGATTTTCTACATACAGACTCATATCATCTGCAAATAGAGGCATTTTTACTTGTTTCATGATTTAGTTGCCTTTTCCTTCTTTGTCTTGCCTCACTGCTCTAACTAGGACTTCAGTACTATATTGAATGAGAGGTGAGAACGGGCATCCTGTGTTGTTCTTTATCTTAGAGAAAAAGTCTTACATTTTTCTCCATTGAGTTTAACGTTAGCTGTTGATTTGTCATATATGGCCCTTAAGTTAAGGTACATTCATTCTATCTTCTGGGGATTTTTATCATGAAAGGATGTTGTAGTTTGTCAAATGCTTTTTTTTGCTGCCTTTATTAAGATAATCATGTGTTTTTTATATTTCATATTGTGATGTATTACATTTGTTGATTTGCATATGTTGTTGAACCATCTTTGCATCTCAGGGATAAATACCACTTGGTTATGGTATATAATCCTTTTGAAATGTTTTTGAATTTGGTTTGCTAATATTTTGTTGAGAATTTTTACACTTATATTCATCAGCAATATTGGTTTATAGTTTTCATGTGGTGTCCTTATCTGACTTTGGTATCAGGGTAATGCTGCCCTTACAGAGTGAGTTTGGAGGTATTCCCTCTCAGTTATTTGGAAGAGTTTGAAGATTGGTGTTCATTCTTCTTTGAATGTTTGGTAGAATTCACCAGTAAAGCTGTCTGATACTGAGATTTTCTATGTTGGTTAATTTTTTATTAGATTCAATCTCTTTACTTTTATTGGTCTGTTAAGAGTTTCTGTTTCTTCCTGATTCAGCCTTGGTAGGTTGTGTGTTTCTAGACATTTATCCATTCCTTCTAGGTTATCTAATTTATTGGCATATAATTGTTAATAGTCTCTTATGGTCCTGTGTATTTGTATAGTAACAGTTACAATTTTCCTTTTCTATTTCTAATTTACTTGAGTCCTCCTTTTTTTCTTAGTTTGGCTAACAGTTTGTCAATTTTGTTTATCTTTTTGAAGCACCAGCTTTTAGTTTTATTGTTCCGATTGGTTTTCTGGCCTCTATTTCATTTATTTCTGCTCTGATCTTTATTATTTCCTTCCTTCTGGTAACTTTGGGTTTGATCTGTTGTTTTTCTAGTTCTTTGAGGTGAAATGTTAGGTTGGTTATACAAGGTCTTTTAAGTTTAATGCATTTATCACTGAAACATTTAGAACTGCTTTTGCTGTATCTCATGAGCTTTGATATATTGAATTTCCATTTTCATTTGTTTTGAGATAATTTTTTATTTCCCTTTTGACTTCTTGCTTGACCAGATGTTGTTTCATTTCCACATGTTTGTAGATTTTCTAGCTTTCCTCTTATTGATTTCTAGGTTTATACCATTATAGCCAGAAAAGATAGCTGGTATGATTTCAGTCTTCTTAAATTTGCTGAGATTTGTTTTGTGCCCTATCACAAAATCTTATCTCAGAAAATGTTCTGTGTGCCCTCAAGAAGAATGTGCACTTGGTTTTGTGTAGAATATGCTTTTCTACCACTTTACTTTGAGCCTATGTGTGTCATTAGAGCTAAAATGAATTTCCTGTAGGCAGTATATAGTTAGATCCTGTTTCTTAATCCATCCAGCCACACAATGCCTTTTGATTGGTGAAATTAATCCATTTATATTTAGAGTGATTATTGGTATGGAAGAACTTGCTGTTATAGTTTGCCTTCTGGTTGTTTTGTATCTCCACTGTTTTTCCCTCTTGCTATTTACCCTTTGTAAAATGGTGCTTTTCCAAGGTGATTTGCCTAGTTTTTTGTTTTGGGATTTCACACTTAATGTCTGCTTTGTGGTTACCATGTGGCTTACATGAAACATCTCATGTAAAATAGTCTTTTTTATGCTGATAGCACTTTATCTTTGCTTGTAAAGGTTCCACCCCTTTACTCCTCTGATTTTTGTCACAACTTACCTCTTTTTATGCAGTAAATTCATTGAGAAATTATAGTAGCTATTGTTATATTTAATGCTCCTTTCTTTAATTAAGTGGTTAGCATACCATTCTAATATAGTTATAGTTTTCTAATTATTTTTCCCCTTTCCTAGAGGATTGTATATTTTATTTGCTTTTATGTCACTAATTAGCATTTGCATTTCAGCTTGAAGAACTCCTTTAGCATTTCTTACAACGCAAATCTAGTGATGAACTCCCTGTTTTCATTTTTCCTTCATCTTCATATCTGAAGGATAACTTTGCTGGATGAAATATTCTTGGCTGGCAATTTTTATCTTTCAACACTTTGAATATGTCATTCTATTTTCCTCTGGCCTGTAGAGCTTCTGCTGAGAAATCCACTAATGGCAAGTCCCTCAGGTTTCGTTCTTTTTTTCCCTGGCTGCCTTTAAGATTCTTTATCATTGATTTTTGACAGTGTCATTATAATGCGTCTTGGAGAAGGTCTTTTTACATTGAGATAATAGGGTAATCTGTGGCCTCTTGGATTTTCGGACTTGTATGTCCAATTGCTTCCCCGGGTTTGGGAAGTTCCTAGCTATTATTTCTTTAAATATGTTCTCTGCTTCTTCTAATAGACCAATAATTCCTATATTTGTTTTTCCCATGTCTGAGAGCTTTTGTAGGCTTTCTTTATTCTTTTAAAATTTTCTCTCTCCTGAGTCATTTCTAAATTCCTGTTGTCTAAGTTGCTAATTCTCTCCTCGATCTGATCTCCCCAACTTCCTAAGCTCTCTAATTCATTCTTTATCTGATTCATTGAATTATTCACCTCCAGAATTTTTTTAATTTAGTGAAAAAACAAACAAAAAAAACCTCCTTCTGTTCATTTAACTTTACTCCTCAGTTCATTCAGTTGCCTTTCTGGGTTTTCTTGTATTACACTGAATCTCCTCATAACAGCTATTTTGAATTCTTTATCAGATTGCAATATTCCATGCCTTTGAGTTTGGCTGCTGGGGAATTATTTTGTTTTCATGATAACCATACTACTGTGATTTTTCACTGAATGAAACTCTGCAGTCTCACTTGAAGTAGCACATACACCTTTCTTAGTTGTTTGTACTTTGATTGTTACTGTTCAATAGACTGGCAGTTAGAAACCTTTTGTTTTCTAGAAGGTGGCACATTCTAGAACTCAAGTTTCTGGTTTCTTTTTACCTGAGCTGGCTCTGTGGATGCACTCAGGAGCATGGGTTAAAAAAAGATGGTGTAGAAAGAGCTGGTGGCCGAATGCGGGAGTTGTAGGCTTATTACCTGGGACTTCTGTGGGTGCTCTTGGCATGGTAAGGGGATCCTTGAGTTGGGTATTCCTAGAGGTCTTTGGGCAGACATCCTGATGAACTCCCATAGAGGCAGGAAACATGTTCCTTCAGTGCCCTTAGTTATTCTTGTTTGCATCTTTCCCTTTCCTCTCCCTTCCCCATGTCATGCAGGTCCCGCCTAAGAAGTCTGGGTGCTGCTGGAGAGACACAGGTACCTTCAGCTACAACCCATGTAGCTAGTTACTCACCACTTTCACTTTCTACCAGTACATATCAGTGTTACCCTGTGGAGAGAGACTGACCCAAGTTTCTCCTCTGCCTACAAACTTACTGTCCTGCTGTGATGTCATGCCAGTTTCCCATCAGGCTGGCTGGGCCTTCACAAATTCTGTATCTCTCTTGGTATCAGACCTGTTTGTTTTGCACTCTCCGGTTTGGCTCCCTACCCTCTCCCCCCATCATGATATGTGGGGTTGAGGCAAGCTTACTCCCTTGGATTTGCAGCCCCCTCTGAGAGCCTATCCATCCTACTTTCTGAAACACAGGTGAGTAAAAAATCTCCTGGGTGTTCTGGTGTAATGTGCAGTCACTTTTATTTGGTTATGAATGACCAATTGTAAATAGAGAAAAAAAGGAATGACCCCTGCTGCTGCTGTCTCCAGTCTTCTGACTTTGAATCCCGTGTTCTTATACATATTGATTACACCCCAAAATATGTGGCAATATCTGGGTAATTTGGGATATGTTTTGTTGTTTCTCAATGTAAGTTACCAAGATAGCCGGTTTTTAACTACTGTATAATATTGAGCACTTGCTATGTGCCAGGGACCACGTTACATGATAATAAGAGTATTTAGCCCTCATAAATATTGTTGAAGATCTGAAGCAAACTGCAGAGAACATGGAATAGCTTCTTGGCTCTGTGTTTTACAGAAGACCAAATAGGTCACAGTTTAACAGTTAGCATAAGTAGTATCTGGGAGTAGAAATAACTAGTATCTGGGAGTAGAAACACGAATGTTTGTCCCCAAGACCAAAGTTCTTTCTACTCTATCAAAGTTTACTTTTCATGGTTTCTTTTATTGTTCTTATAAGTTACTTCTGGCAGTTTCTATCCCTAAAGAGAGAGAGAGGGCTTTGTGTAAGCCATATTTTGTCACCTTCTGATTAACTTGATTCATAACGCATATCTTAAAAATACTCTGAGCAAGAGAGTACCTTTCCAGAAACTTTTTTTTCATATGGTACTCCTAATATTACATTCTTTGTTCCAGGCACCAAACCAAGAGTGTCACATTGTCTAAGTTGCTTTTTCAAATATTTCTGTAATTCAATTCCTGGGAGTCTGACAAGGATGGTATAACACTGAGGACAAAGCAGGAAATTCTGAGACCCTCTTGGGCAGTTTCACTATGTAGTATATAGAATTTTTTAAGTAATCCTAACTAAGTGGATGGTGGTTTTGTGTTTGTACTGATAGGCCTCAAAGTGTTTTAGGGAAAAAAAAGGCAGACAGGCATTCCTCCCCACTGTCTAAACTGACTTGTCACCTATCATTGGCAAGAAGTACTGTGCCATGACAGATGTCTGTCTAAGCCAGCCTTCTCCATAAGCTCTGACTCTAAACAAAGTATGTTAGTGACAGAGTATTGGAACAACACGTGGTTGTCCCATCTCTTACTTAACTTTTTTATCCCTTTTTCGAAAATTTTGAAACATTTCCGAACTACTGTCCTCCTTTTCTTGGTAAACTTTGTCTTTCTTTCTAATGCCTCTATGAGGTAGCTTATAATTAGGACATTATAAGCCTTATAGAAAAAAGCAGCTCCTGGTACAACTGTTAACATTTTATAGATTATATCCACCTGTGCATTTAACACATTCTGTTGGTTTAGCTGTTAGATTAGCACATTCCCTGATGTGTTAGGAAAGATATTCCTCATTTATATCAAGAAGGCTTTCTCTGTGGTGAGCTCTAATACTTTTTTTTGAAGGGGGGGGGTGGGGGTAGTGGCGGG